TGTGTGTGTGTGTGTGTGTGTGTGTGTGTGTGTGTGTGTGTGTGTGTGTGTGTGTGTGTGTGTGTGTGTGTGTGTGTGTGTGTGTGTGTGTGTGTGTGTGTAGATCTGGCGTGTCGAGGGGTCAGAGAAAGTTCCCGTTGACCCGGCGATGTTCGGTCAGTTCTACGGAGGAGACAGTTACATCATCCTGTATAAGTACAGACACGACAACAGACAGGGATCCATCCTCTACACATGGTGAGCATGAACTTGCGCCTAAGTTAAAGGGGACCTATCATGCAAAATGCACTTTTGTACATCTTTTATACATGAATATGTGTCCCCAGTGTTCCAGGGAACTCACCAAGTGTCAGAAAACACAAGCCTCTCTCTTTTCCTCCATACCCAAATCTCTAAAAACTGGGCTGCAACGGATCTGATAGAGTTTTTTCCGTAGTACATATGCCAGGCCTGTAAGTGGCGCTGTAGTCTGCCACAAAAGCAGCGAAGAAGACTTCTCACAGAATCAGCCCTTGCAAAAACAGGGATGGAAAAGAGCAAAATGAAGAATGGCTAAAATGCATGATCTGTTTGGTATTTTGAAAAAAAAACTTCACAGACATGTTTTATATAGGTATGGCCCTACAATATATTATTCAAATATAGCACGATTGGTCCACTTTAACTTTAATTAGAGAGGTTTATAGTTATAGTCCCTGCACGTTGTGTCAGAATCAGGTTTATCACCAGGTGGGTTGACACGTACTAGGAATTTTCTTGGTGTCGTGGTGCGTACATAAATTTAAAACAAAAAAATAACATGTAAAAAAACTATAATAAGATTTAAAAAAAATCAATAATATAGCAGTATTCACATTGAAGAAGAATGGAATACAATATGTGCAGTGATTAAAAAAATTGTGTGCATTTAAAGTGATAATAATGTGTGGTTTCAGGCAGGGGGCAGACTCCAGCGTGGACGAGGTGGGGACGTCGGCCCTCCTGACGATCCAGCTGGACGATGAGCTGGGGGGGGCGGCCGTCCAGGTAAACCCAGAAGAACCCACCGTGACACAGATGTTACATTTATATGTTCTGGAAAGTTCCTTATACAGCTTTAGCCTTTATGAAGTCCCTCAGTGACACACTGTCTGGTGTCATTTGACTAGTGTTCCCATGAAAACATGTCCAAGATGTCCATGGGCCGGGTCATGTGACTAGTGTTCCCATGACAACATGTCCAAGATGTCCATGGGCCAGGTCATGTGACTTTGTGACATATTTCACTTTTCAGATCTCTGACACTAGGGGACGTTACTGGTCAGAACTGTGTTCTATGTGGGCTTTTAAGTCTAAATTATGTTCCCCATAATTTTCCCAAAAGCAGAAATGGCTCCGGGTTCTTACGGGTCTTAAAGACGGCAAAGAAAATTCTTGAAAGCAAAAAAAAAAAGATTAGAATCTGAATAAATGCATCTGTGTGTGCAGGTGCGCGTGGTGCAGGGCAAAGAGCCCGCCCACCTCATGAGCCTCTTTGGGGGCAAGCCAATGGTGGTGTACAGGGGCGGGACATCCAGAGAGGGCGGCCAATCAGAGGGGGCCGACACCCGCCTGTTCCAGGTCCGAGCCAATACGGCGGGAGACTGCAGAGCTGCGGAGGTGAGTCAGGATAACCATGCTCATTTTGGTCCATGAACGCCTCACGCTCATTTTCAATCAATCAATCAATCAAAGTTTATTTATAAAATCCAATATCACACAGTTTACATCTGTCTCAGTGGACTTTACAGTTTGTACAGAATATCAACAAGACCCTCTATGTCCTTTAGACCCTCACATCGGACAAAGAACCCCCAGTTAATGATAGATACCCCTCAGTTAATGAGAGAAACCCCCAGTTAATGATAGATACCCCCCCAGTTAATGAGAGAGACCCCCAGTTAATGATAGATACCCCTCAGTTAATGAGAGAAACCCCCAGTTAATGATAGATACCCCTCAGTTAATGAGAGAAACCCCCAGTTAATGATAGATACCCCTCAGTTAATGAGAGAAACCCCCAGTTAATGAGAGAGACCCCCAGTTAATGAGAGAGACCCCCAGTTAATGAGAGAAACCCCCAGTTAATGAGAGAAACCCCCCAGTTAATGAGAGAAACCCCCAGTTAATGAGAGAGACCCCCAGTTAATGAGAGAAACCCCCAGTTAATGATAGAAACCCCCAGTTAATGAGAGAAACCCCCCAGTTAATGAGAGAGACCCCCAGTTAATGAGAGAGACCCCCAGTTAATGAGAGAGACCCCCAGTTAATGAGAGAAACCCCCCAGTTAATGAGAGAAACCCCCAGTTAATGAAGAAACCCCCAGTTAATGGAGAAA